CAATAGAAAAAACAGAAATCACATATAACAACAGCAACAATTGTAACCACCCTGTATGCCGGCCATTCACAGCTCTAAAAAATGGCATGAAGGAGTCTATAATAATCCAGTCACATAACATGAGGAGAAAAACTCAATTTGACCAGGTCGTCTTTGACAAAGAATGTTAGTTCTGAAAATCACAAACATTTTCACTTTGCAACCTTAATGGTCTGTACACTTATGATATTGTACTAAGTCCGTGTTTTTCTCATATTCAGTGGCCCTTACAGTAACGTAATGTATCTGAAGATTAACAAAGTAGTAATAATTTTAAAAAATCAACTGAACTCCTAATATATGCCATTCACTGTACTAAGTTGTTGCCATGTTTTATCTCATTCATCTTCATTAAAAAAAAAAAAACCCAAAACTAAGAGGTAGGTACTAACAGTTTCCATATTTGCAGATGACAAAACAGAGATGCAAAAACTTATATAACTTGCCCAAAGCCCCGCAGTTCCAAACGGCAAAGCCAGGCTCTGAACCAGGCGATGTGCCTGCAAGCCTGTGCTCAGAACCGCTGTGGAGCACGGCCTTTCAGGAGGGAGGGCAAGAAGAAAGCTTCCCCTTGAGGAATCAGCATCTTCTTTCTTTTTCTTTCCCTTTCTGTTCTTTCCATTCCTTCTCCCTCTGTTTTCCTCTCTTCCCTCTCTAAGTCTCAGGTTGGCTTCATAAGCACTCACAGAGGGCACCCGGCCCAGCTGATGGCACGCAGGGGAGCTCAGGAAGCCAGTTCCTCCTGAAGCAAGATGTGCAAAAGGTGACAGTAAAGACCGTACCACACCCTTCCCCCAACACAAAATATCCTGAAGCATGAGATTACCTACTTCAAGCAATAAAGCATAGACCAACACTTCAGTAAGACCAGATATTTGGAATACAATCTGGAGACAGCCATAACTGATTTTCCTCGGCCCATTTCTCTTCTTTGACCACAAAATTTCCTTGTTGATCTTATCCATGTTCACAGTCTGAACTGCCGCAAATCGGTATCCCTTGGGCATACGGTTTAAGCTTCAAGCTTGTGGTAGTCAGCTAATATGGCACAGAACCATGGTAAGAACAGGGAGAGGAGAAGCAGCAAAACGTAAGTAAATGAACAAGATCTTTCTAGATCCTTCGTGGCAGGCTCAAACTCCCCCTCTCTGTGAAGCCATCCCTGAACGCGCCAACAGCAGAATTTCTTCCTTCTTATAATGCCGATTGCCGTTCCTCCAGTGACAAAATGTCACGTCCCACTTCCCTGTGACCTCAGCGGGTAGCCCAGTGTCTTGTTCTCTGTTCTCGGTCTTCCCACACTAGGAAAACTTGTTTTCCTCCTCTTGATATTTGCATCATATATTTCCTTCTTTCCCAAACTGACCGGCCAGCTCACTGGGATACTTAGCTACTATTAAGTAGTAATTAATGGCTAAAAGTGGTTAATCTATCACCCCTATCCGTAAATATCTGCATGGCAAAACTGACCTTGAGTATAAGAATCTTAGGGCAAAGTCAAGATGACTGAATAGATTTTTGTGTCCCTTAAAATATAAATATATTTCAATCAAATAATAAATGATGGCGCAACATTAGATAGTAATGATTTACAAATTTACACATGACTAACTGTAATGCATTTTGACCACAACCCTACTCATGACTGTTAAAACATTCAGCAGCATAAATATACCCTTAAGATACATTTACATTTCTAGTTAAAAAAGTCTAGTTATCATCTCTACATAAATTAGCTTACAAATATACTTGCTATAAATTCCAAAGTCTCGTGATTTCACATCAAAAGAAATTTACCTTTTGCGTGGAAATATTGAGCATTATCCTACTTGCCTGAAAAAGCCACTTTCCAGAGAAGGAGAAAATCCAAGATCAAAACCAGAAATCATTTACTCTGCACGTGTGTGTGTCTCTGCATGTGTGTTGTTAGACTGAAACTTTATTCCCTGAAAAACTGGGCCCCAACTGTGTAACTATTAAAATACTAAGTACTTCAAAATTGGACATGCTATTTTAAAAAACTATTTTCTGGTATAAATTTTTCTTATGAATCCATATTTAAAAAGTTGTAGCAAATTTACTTCTGACCACATGAGGCTATTTCTAATTTTTATGGTAGCACTGACTCCTGAAAACAAGCTCCTAATAAAACAGTCACAGAATATTGAAAAAACATCCATGCATATATAAGAGCCGCAGACAGATCCCTCCTTATGAGTCTATGAGGCAAACATAAAAGACTATCAATCATGGAAAGATAATTTCCCTTTGTCAACTATTTAATGTCTGATAGTGCTCCAGTAAGAAGGTCAGACGGTCAACCTCATGCTTTCAAAACCCCAAATCTCAACCGCCAACATCTGACTGGGCTCCCCAAATTCTTACCAAAAGAAACCTACCTGTTCTGCTTGAATAGTGGGCATAATCACAGGCCAGCTAAGAGAATCTTTTAAAAGTAGTTCAGATAATATGTTCAATGGACAGAATTAAAATCCAAAAGAGATAAATGACCACAACTTGATGGAATCCCAGCAGACCCTTGGGACAACAATGTGACCACAGAGCCTTTTTCTTCCATCACATCATTAAGTAACAAAAGGAAGATGTTTTTTGTACATGAAACCAGAAAATTTAAGTAGAATGGGCTGTAGGGTTTTTTTTTTTGTTTTTTCATTTTTAAAGATTTTATTTATTTGAGAGAGAGAACACGAGCAAGGGGAAGGGGCGCAGGGAGAAGAAGACGCAGAATCCCCTGCTGAGCAGGGAGCCCAATGATGGCCCTTGATCTCAGGACCCTCAGATCGTGACCTGAGCCAAAGGCAGACGCTTAACGACTGAACAATCCAGGTGCCCCTGAGCTGTAGGTTTTTAAGTAATGAGTAATTAATAATGCTCAGGGGAAAAAGGAAAAAAAAAAAAAAAAACAAGTATAAGCTTCATGTACTTACCAAAATTACTAGTTAACTGCTAGGATTTTATCATGAAAATATACACCTCAGACAAAAGGCAAAGACAAAAAATAAACTTCCTTTTCTCAGCACACTAGAAGAGCCTAACAATTTCTTTGAAAATAGAACGCATATTCATACTCTGTACAGAGTCAGTACTCAATTAATGCTAGTGACTGATTAAACCATGACAGCTAGGAACTCTGCTCACTTATGAGACCTGAGTGCCTTTCTGGGAACAAATGAACAAATGATGCTTATTTGAGGAACACCTGGGTGGCTCAGTTGGTAAAGCATCTGCCTTTAGCTCGGGTCATAATCCCAGCATCCAAGGATCAAGTCCCATTCTCCCTCTGCTTGCATGTTCTCTCTCTCTCTCTCTCTCTCTCTCTCTGACAAATCAATAAATAAAATATTTATTTTAAAAAAGCTGCTTCGTTGAGGAGAGGAACCCCTCATACACTTGAGCTGAAGAGAAGTGTCTACATGCATCATGGTCAATCCACAAAGCTCAGAGAATATAAACATGACCTGGACAAAGTTGAAGGACATTCCAAGCCCCTGATATTACAAGACTCTTTTCACATTGGTTCCGCTGAATGTGCCTTGGGGACCCTGTGGGTCTGGGAACCATCCACACAATGCTTGACTTTGTTTAGTGACAACAAAGGGGTCAAAGACTTGAGAAACAAAAGCAGGAGGACACAGCTTCCCGAAGCAAAACCAACCAGACAAGAAAACAATATTCACGATTGTTTAGGAAAAAGAGTGATTGTAGGCTGAAGCTTTAAATTAAATCAAATGATGTAAGTTATTAATTAATTAAAATCTTCAGTTAACAGGAAAGGGGAAAAAATCACTGTTTCTTAAATCTTGTCCATATCTATTCCTTCTCTTTAATTTGCCAGAGACAGACTTGACAATCACCACACACAGACACACATGGTTGCATTCTTTCAGTTACAGTGATTTCAAATTTAGGGAGAGACCTGCACGCTGTTCTCTGAGATAAGAGTGCTCACGGGTAGCTGGGTCTAAGCCTTCCAGCCGACAGCAGAGCAGGAGGACTGACAGGAAGTTGTCGGAGGACTGACAGGAAGCAAGGTACTGTTCGGTCAACTTCAGACAAACATTAACATGAACAACATCACAGAAGAAACACTGGGCATTGGTAGATTGTTTTTTGACTAAAAAGATGCCATGGGAAATTAAGGTGAAAGGAAGATTTTTACATGTCCCATGTGTTCATGGCAGACAAAAATGCAGAGATGGATGTAATAGTCAGAAAAAACCACACAAGAATCTCCTTGGGTAGCACCATGGCTGAGCGATTATGGTGGCTCCAGTCTCCTTAGACACAACCGACGTCCTCATCAACCACGATCCAAGCCCGATCTGCGTCGGCGGGAGGCGGATGAGAACTGAAGCTAGAAGAACCGAATCTGCTCTACCCACTTAAGACCTGCTTCACTGGGGCGCCTGGGGGGCTCAGTGGGTTAAGCCTCTGCCTTCAGTTCAGGTCATGATCTCAGGGTCCTGGGATCGAGCCCCGCATCGGGCTCTCTGCTCAGCGGGGAGCCTGCTTCCTCCTCTCTCTGCCTGCCTCTCTGCCTAATTGTGAGCTCTGTCAAATACAAAATTAAATCTTTAAAACAAACAAACAAAAACCTGCTTCATAGATGCCCGGGACCAGGGGCCCTTCCAGGCCGCAGGCCAGTCCAGCTCCCTGAATTAGGGCTCCTGCACCGGAGCCAGTGACCCGAGCCTCCTGCACGTGGCCGGAGGCAGCATCTTGCGTCTGGTTCACGTCACCCAAGTAGGTTCATTACTTCCTTCCTTTAGTTTCCATTTGAAGGAGGAAGAGCGACACCAAGCCCCGTTCCCACTCCAGCCCTGGCCCCACACAAACCGATTTTCCTAGATGCGCTCCCGGGTGCGGTCATTGCAGAAGGCCTGGGGCAGCGGCTGGGGTGGGGGGGGCGGGGGAGGGCAGCGAGAGACGCGCGCTCCTACCTGATGTGGCCGATGAGCTCGATGAGCTTGTGGCTGAAGAAATAGGCCGTCAGCTCAGACACGTGGCTCAGGACGGAGCAGACCCCGAAGAGGGTGGTGGTCCCGTTCAGGTCCTCCAGGTGCCAGTAGAGGAAGGTGAACACGAAGCCGTAGCCGAAGCCCATGAACCAGGCGACAAAGAGCACCGAGCCGTAGCGCACGCCGCACAGCAGCCGCACCAGGGCCCAGAAGCTGAAGGCCGGCGAGCGGCCTGGGCCGGCGGGCGTCCCCTCGGAGGACTCGGTGGAGCTGCTCCTGTCCGCCGCAGGGATCTCCTCCGCTTTCCCTTGGCTCTCGTCAGGCTTGAAGTGGTTGTAGCGGAACCGGAACTGAGTGGCGACGACCAAAGCCACGGTCATGAGAACCCCAAAGACGATGAAGACGATCTGGTAGTTCCGGGACTCGGGGGGTCTACACCCCTTCCCGTCGACGAGCACCTCCGTGTGCGTGTAGTCGATCCCGATGCCCACAGACAGCATGGCCAGCCCCCAGCCCAGCGAGCCCCACATGCGCTGCAGCCCGTAGCGGTCTCTGTGCTTGCCCAGGTACTGGAGCGTTACCGTGTCCACGATGGTGACCGAAGAGGCGCTGAAAAATTCTCCGATTATGACAACGACCAGGATCACCAGGAATATAGCCTCCACTTCCTGCTGATCGTAAACAAGAGTGACTTGACTGGACGGTAAAGATTTGGTGGTGGTGACAAGAGCGGTGGTTGTCTCTCTGGTTGTGTTTCCCAGGAAGGCAGGCGTTATTGTGCTTGGACTCAAGGTCAAGTCTGTAATATGGTCCGTAATTTCATCTGTCTGAGGTTGCAGAGTGGGCCCACTGGTCTTGTTCAGAGCTGTCGAAAAGATGACCGTTTCTGTGACATTGGGCTCCGTTTCCGGTATCACTGGCCAGGTGGAAGGGAGCAGGGCCCTCTTCTCCCGAATTCGTGGGGACACCGCAAGGGAAGAGTTGGTTGGCGGGATGGTCAGCAGGTGACTGGAGTTAGTGGGATGAGACGTTGGGGGGATCTTTGGTACACATCTCAAGGTAGCAGGCTTGACAAATCCGATGCCCAGGTTGAATAACACCCAACACAAAAGAGAAAAGAGGAGGACGATTTTGCCTTTTTTAAAGCGATCTGCAACTACACCCCAAAAGGGGGCGCTGCAGAACTCAATGAAGTACCGGATGCCCACCAGCAGTCCGCTCTGGCTGGGCGACATCCCCAGCTGCTTGTAGTACACCGGCAGGAGCGGATAAAGAGAGCCGTATGCAGAGTAGAAGAAAAAATAGAAGACCTTGGATATCAGAAGATCATTATTTATTTTGACACAGTGTTTCTCTATCCAGTCTATTTCCTCCTCAGGAAGAGCAGCGGTTTCTGTGGAGGTGGGCGTTTCATTGGAAGGTGGTTCTGGTTCCCTGGAAATACCATTAAAGGGGTCAGCGAGCACGTACTTTCTCTTCTGTTCCTCTTCATCGTCAGTTAAGATGGCAACTTTATCATCTGACGCCATGGCTTACCACCACCATCAGAAAGTTTATGACCTTCAGAATCTCGACTGTTGATCTGCAGAGTAAAATTTTAAAGATGGCTTAGTATGAAAATAACATTTAAATCCAGAATTTCATCTTGCAAGAAGCTGAGGAGTTTCAAACTATAGCTAAAAATAATAATTGTGAGAGAAAAATTCTCCCATTTATCACTTACAGCCACACAATACTAAACAAGAGAAACAGCTTTCAAAGAACCAAATACTTTTTGTGGCCACTGACTGACTAATTACATGTTCTAATGGCAGGCTTATAGCTCAGGTTCATTCTCATATCTTTTCATTGATTCCTGGTGAAAGTGTACAAATGATAGGGATTATGTCTAAACCAAATATAGAAATTGAAAATAAATAGTATTTACAGTTTCTTGGTTTTACTTTTCAAACAAATCCACTGCACGATATCCCTATTAATTTCCCTGTGTTACAGAAGAGAAAAATGAGGCGTGGTGAGCTTCAATAACTCAGAAGTGGCAGAGTGAGGGTCCGAACCCTAATATGGCTTTAAGCTGCACACGCTAATGCATCACCATCAACGGCCAAATGCTACATTCTGGATAATGAAATGCTATTAAACCTTCTTATAAGACAGGGTGTTTCATATGAAATGGCATTATCGACGGCATAAATTTATAGGAACTGTGCCACATTCCACCAGCATTTCCCTTTTTTCCATTCTACAGATAATTGAAGAGTCCAAAGGTCTTGCTGGCATCCAGAGATGTCCATCAGCATATTCTGAGGTAGGAGGTGTATACATTAAATACATGGAAATTCCTTCCACCTTCTGTACCAGAGAGGAGTAACTTCACTTGTTACCCCCTTGGAATAGATCTTGTTCTCCCTTTTTCCCAAAACAAAGACTAACCTGCTGAAAATCTTCCAGAATCAGGCTTGCAAACATTTAAAAACACTGCTGCTAGGGAGGCAGTGAAACACAACGTAATGAGACCTGTGTACTAAGTCCATTGGTCCTCTACTCCTCCTCTCCGAAGCCAAGTGTCAATGTAGCTGTAAGTTTTTTAAATGTTCATGTGTTTCTTATTTTTAGGTTTAACCAATTGTTTTATTTGAGGTAAAATTCACACAACATAAAATTAGCCATTTTAAGTAGACAATTCAGTGGAATTTAGTGCATTCCCAAAGTTGTGCCACCCCCAACTCCATCTCGTTCCCAAGTCATGTTTTCTTTAGTATAAAAGAAAATCTGTTTTCCCCACAAAACTTCAAGGAAAAGCAAAATCCTATCTTTTGCTATCCCGCTGATTTTTCTCAATGTTCTAGACTTATGTTTCTTTCTGCATTCATGCGTTCCCCTATCCACATCAGCAGCTCCAATCCCATCTCATCATCTGAAAACAACAATAACTCTCCTTTGAGCTTATTTTCTAAATTAATTTCATTTCTGAGCTCAAACTTAAAAGAAATATTTGTTTTTACAGTATATAAAAGTTATATGACCCGTCTGGGTGAAGGTGAAAGATGGAGCACATCTGACTTTCATCCCTAAACTCCACTAAAATAAACACACACACACACACACACACACAATTTTTAAAGTCATAATCCAAGCTAGGAGAATTAAAGAGCCCATAAATGGAGCAATAAGATTCTGGAAGCCAGAATATAATTAGACAGTTGGTAAATAACTTAGTAGATCTTAGAAAACTGAAACCTTGGTTGACAGTGGGGAAAGCCAGTAACAGAATTTATTACTCTGAATCCTTCAGAGTCTCATGGGTTGGCCACATTAGGTTGAAGTGTGTGTGTGTGTGTGTGTGTGTGTGTGTGTGTGTGTGTGTGTGTGTAGAGGCGAGGAGGGGAGGCTGCTGCTAACGGAGTTGACTGAAACCCTGAGCTCCAGCTAAGATCATTCAGTGCCCTTCTCTACTCCACATGTCGAACCAGACAACTAGAGGCTTTTTCCCTCTGGAGAGAATAAAACAGGTTTCTGCTGTCTTACAGAAACAGCTGTAATTGAGAGCAGGGGTACCGTACTGCAAACAGGGCATTAAGTGAACACATACATACTGATTCCAAACCTTAGCCCTGCCCCAAACCCCCATCCCACTTCCCTCACAAGGTTTCCAGAGGCTGGCAAGGCTATCATCCTCCAGGCAGGAAACTGGAAGGTTCTTCTCTGAGGATCTCGACACCAAAACCTCCCCACTAAACCACCCACCCAATCACTCTATGTGGAAGTTCAGAGTCATGGAGTTCTGCCACTAAATATGGGCAGCCATTCAGAACCGTAAGATGTCTGAAAAAAGACTTCCATGAAAGTCGGAAACAAAACAAAAACAAAAAATCAACCTGGAGAAAATAGGAGCTGTGTGAGGAGGAAAATATTTCCTAAATATATTATTTTCAGAAATAGGAAAAGAAATGCAACTATGAAACAAAAATAAGATAATACTTATTTTTCAAGAAGGAGGAGGATGAAGGGGAAGAAAAGGAATGCTTGAATGAAAAAGTTAAGGAATTTTTTTGTGGGAAAAAAAGCATAAATGATAAAGTAAGGGATGATGTAAAAGAAGAATTTAAGGCAACTACTTACAACAACAACAACAATAAACAGATCCTCTACTTCACATCATACACAAAAATCAACTCCTGATAGACTGTAAACAGAAAAATATCTTGAAGATCTTAGCATAGAAGAAGACTTACTAAATAGGATGTAAGACTACTCCGTGTTAAGGAAGAAAAAGTAAATTGGACTACATTAAAATTAAAAACTTCATCAAAAGGCAATATTAAAGATGGAAAAGTCAAGCCAAAGAGTAAAATAAGGTATTCTGGTGAGGATGAATATTATATATATCTGACAAAAGAATGTCTCCAGATATATAGAAAATTCTTAAAAATCTATAGAAAGATGTCAGGTAGTCTAATAGGAAAAATGAGTAAGAGACTTAAACAGTCACTTCACAAAAGAGCTTATGCAAATGGTAAATAAATATGTAAAAACATGCTCAGCTTGAATCAAGCGAGCAGTAAAAGCAAATTAAAACAGAATGCAATAATACAACATATTCCCAAAATGGCTAAAATAAATAGGACAGATAATACCAAGTGTTGGTGAGGATGTAGAGCAACTGGAACTCTCATAGGTTGCTGTTAGGAATGTAAATTGATACACTACTTTGATAACTGGAAATAGCTACCAAACCTGAAGGTTTACCTGATGACAACTCCTCGATGTATATAAAATAGTAATGTATTCAACAAATGACATCTAAAAAAATGTTCACAGCAGAACAATAGCTCAAAACTGGGAACAACCTATCTATAGCAGAATACATAAACTATGCTATATTCATAGAACGAAATACTGTACAGCAGTAAAAAAGCAACAATTACAGTTTCATGCAATGATATGGATAAATCTCACAAACATAATATGGACTGAGAAAAGCAAGAAGCAGAAGAACATATACCATATGATTTCATTTATGTAGCGTTACAAAAGCAAGCAAAACTAATTTGTGGTATTAAAAGTCAGGGTTGATTTTTGCTTCCAAAGAGATTAAGTAGACACACATTTTCCTACTGTTTCTGCTAAGTACAACTAAAAATCTTGGACTTTATATAAAAAGCAAATACAGAAGACTTTGAAAGGTAGACAGAAAAGGCTGGAAAAAACAGCTGGAAAACAGATTGGAAAAAAAATTAACAGAATTCAAGGGCTTATGGGACTATAACAAGCTAGGGACCTTGCTACCCAAAGAACAACATGGGGATGAATGGGGCTAAAGAACTTGGAAATACCAATGAGTGCAAACCAAAAAACAAAACAAAAAAATACAAAACCCTCAAACAAACAACAATAAAAAACAAACAAAAACCCCACAAAGCCCTCTCTGACTAAAGGATGAGGAAAACTGCAGCCTAGAAAAACAGAAAACTTTAGATAATACCAGCTCTACTCCAGCCAAATAGCACAGAGTGAGATTTGGGGTTGGGGGATAATGAATCTTAACTCCCACCCCCACCAGCAAAGGCTACAGGGGGAGCCTACACTTCCCCAAGCTATCACAGGGCACCCCAACCCCTAAACTGAGGCGATATCAGAGACCACAAAGTAGGGAGCTGGGACTTTCATCATTGCTAGGTGGTAATGAGGTCATGTCCCCAAGACATCATTAGTGGGGAACATTGGGGGATCCTGGACTTACATCCCCACCTACTAGTAATAAGATATCCCTACTTTTCCACCCGGGGTGGTATCAGAAGAGACCTAATAGAGACTCATAACTTTTCCCACCACCCAGCAATAACAAGATTCCTTTCCCCACCCCCATTGTGGTATCAGTGGAAACCACATAGGGAGCAGTAATGAGACACTCCTATTTCTCCCAGCCAGGGAAGTGTCAGTGGATACCTAATGGTGAGCCAGAACACCCATCTCTACTTCACAGTAACAAGGAGCTCCTTCACCCTCAGAGGGTGAGTGGGGAAGCTGGACTTCAACATCCATCTAGCTGTAATGAGGCAATATCTCCAATTCACCTGCTAGAGCATGTCAGAAAAATCCAGCTAAAAGAGGAGGCTTAAATATGATCCTGAGTTTCATAACATAATACCCCAAATTCCAAGTTTCAACAAAAATAATGCATACCAAGAACCAGTTAGACTTCAAAAAAATGCTTCAAAAAGCAATTAAAAACATGCTTAAAAAAATGAAAAGAAAGGAAGGAGAAAATTGAAGCATAGAAATAGAAAGTCCCAGAAAGAGATATAATGTATAAAGAGGAACAAAATGGAAATTTTAGAACTTGAAAAGACAAGAGCCAAAATATAAAATAAATTCAATGGATGGACTCTACAGCAGAATGGAGGAGAGAGGGAAAAATGAGCCAACTGAAAGACAGAATGTAGAAATTACACAATCTGAACAACAGAAAGAAAACAGACTGGAAAAAAAAAATTAACAGAGCCTTAAGGACCTATGTGACTATAACAAAAGACTGAACAGTCATGTCATTAGAGTCCTGAAAGGAGAAGAAAAGGGCAG